GAAGGAAGGAAAGAAGGAAAAGAGAAGGAAAGAAGTCAAGAGAAAGGGAAGGGAGGGAGGAAGAGAAGAAAGGGAAGAGAGAGGTGAAGATTGGCAAAAAGATAAATAAAAAGTGAGAGCAGCAGCAGCAGAAGAGGAGAATGTGGGAAAGGGGGGTGGGGAAGAGGAAGAGGAAGCAGAAAAGGAAGGAGGTGAGCTGGCACCTGCCAGCAGGTGGCTGTGACCACCCCCCCAAAACCTTTCCAGAGTCTCATTTCGGGCTCACCAGGGAGAGGCCATGACTGTCCTAGTGTCTACAACGGGCAGGATATGATCCCTGCCATCCGCTCTAGAACCCACAATTAATGCCCGGCTTGTAACAACCCAGCCTGGGTGATGCCCCTGGAAAGTGGCTGAGCAGGACGGGTGGAGGCGGCTGAGGAATCTGCAGAAAAGGAAACTGTTTTTCTCCCCCAGCTTAGCCAAATTTGCTTCCTCCACAAACCTTTGCAAACTTCGGCACCAAAATTGGCAGCAAAATAATAAAAATAAAAATAAAAATATGCAAAGACCTTGGGGCATTTACGACTTTAGCTGCAGAAAGTCCTGCTCAATGACCCGATTCTGACCCGTATTTATGACCGTTTGCAACATCCTGCAGTCACTTGATTGAGAATTGGGGTTGGGGGGGGGGGGGTTTGGGGTGTGCGTTTTTGGCATTTACGTCTTTTTTCCAGCAAAAAAAAACCCACCCCACCTGTGAAAGAAAAACAGGGCTTCGTTCCAGAATGAAGGGTTCATTTAATGACCGCTGCAGAAAAAGGTTGTAAACTCAGGTGCAATGACAGGGCGGCTCCGCTTAACAACTGCCACGTCTGAATGACTGCAATCCCTGCCTCAAACGCGGTCATAAGTTGAGGACTGCCTGTATTATAAACAGGATACGGAACAAATGCACAACTTAGAAATCAATACAAGGGCCCTTCATAATTTGGGTTAGTTGTTATATTCCCTTTGGTGTTGGTTTTGACTCACCGTGACCTGTTATGATGTTCGTTGGATTATTTTAATTAAAATAAACAGACTAAATGTTCATGCTGTTTAACTGGCTGCAGCGGAATGGCTGTGTTCTTTATTCCTCAGGATCAGGGGAGGATGGTCTGTTGATTTAGCACAATTGCTTTAAGAGCGGTGGGCTTTGACTCCCAGAATCCCCCAGTCAGAAAGCTTTAAGACAGGTGAACTTCAACTCCCAGAATCCCCCAGCCTGTATCCTTTAAGATGGGTGGGCTTCGACTCCCAGAATCCCCCAGCCAGCAGGCTTTAAGAGGGATGGGCTTCAACCCCCAGAATCCCCCAGCCAGCCTGCTTTAAGAGCGGTGGGCTCTGACTCCCAGAATCCCCCAGTCAGAAAGCTTTAAGACAAGTACACTTCAACTCCCAGAATCCCCCAGCCCGTATCCTTTAAGATGGGTGGGCTTCAACTCCCAGAATCCTCCAGCCAGCCTGCTTTAAAGGGGGTAGGCTTCGATTCCCAGAATCCCCCAGCCAGACTGCTTTAAGAGGGGTGGGCTTCCACTCCCAGAATCCCCCAGCCAGCCTGCTTTAAGAGGAGTGGGCTTCAACTCCCAGAATCCCCCAGCCCGTATCCTTTAAGATGGATGGGCTTCGACTCCCAGAATCCCCGAGCCAGCAGGCTTTAAGAGGAGTGGGCTTCAACTCCCAGAATCCCCCAGCCAGCAGGCTTTAAGAGGGATGGTCTTCGACTCCCAGAATCCCCCAGCCAGCAGGCTTTAAAAGGGGTGGGCTTCATCTCCCAGAATCCCCCAGCCAGCATGTTTATTTTATTCGATGCCTGCTTGTCTTTCACATGTGTGAACGCGTGTACAGTACACCTGAGTGAAAGAGACGGATGAAGAGATTCATAGAGTAAGGAGCAGGGGCTGTGTGAAAGGGGAGGTTAACCCCTCCTTCTCCCCCCTCCAAGATCCAGCATTACTTTTCCTCATACGAACCCTTTGTTTCGTTGTTGTTTGCAGCTAAGGTAGACTGCACCAGGCCAAGGGAATTCTACAAACCAAAACGTTTCTACTGGATCCCGTTCTTGCCTTCGTTTATTTTTTCCTCCTTCCTGGCTGGCCGTATGCAACGGATTCACATGCGACAAAGTATTATTACACAGCTGTGCGTCCTGCCAAAAGGAAGTGACTTGGCAAGTGTTGACAGAAAGTTGGTGGCGCTGCCAGATTTTCTTGTCCTGGCTCGATTCATGCTCCTAGCCCGGCTGAGCCCTCGAATTCGGTTTCGAGTTGGCCATTAAGCGTGGCCAAAACCTGGAAGGAAGGAAGCTTTGCGTAAAATCTTCCGAGTGACAAGCAGACCTAACCAAATTTCAGACTCATTAAAATTCCAAATTATGGGGGACTCCGAAAACCATCGCTCTGAACCTGAACAAGGCAGACCCGGCCAGATTTAGCAACAAAACCGCATACAGATCGTTCTCGACTTACGACCACCGTTGAGCCCAAAATTTATGCCGCTAAGCAAGACTTAACCACTGCGGTGATTCACTTGAGAACGGTCGTAAAAGGGAGCCAAACTCACTTAACAACTGTCTATCGCTTAGCAACAGAAACGTTGGGCTCAAATTTGTGGTCGTAAGTCAAGGACGGCCTGTATTTGTTTTTTTTTTTAAACTACATTTTAATAACGTCGTTCCCTCTTTGTCTGCTGTTATTTGGCCCCATTGTCTTCATTTTTCTTTTCTTTTTCTTTTTCCTGGGGTTTTATTTCTCGGTAGAATTCGCTGTCCTACCAGGGACAAGGCCACAAGGTTAAATCTCAATCATTCCAGGGCAGAAAAAAGGGGGATTTCTTGAAATCACTTGATTCTCTTTTCCCCGAGAATTACCAGGCCAGGAAAAAAAAAAGAAAAACAATTATCAGAATTTGCAATGTTTTCTTGAAAATCAGCCTCCAGGTTCCTGGGACTTTTTATTTTCTTTTGGTTCTGCTTTCTGCGGCGGGCGCCAAAAACATATCGTGGGTGTCCCTAATTCTTCCTTAAGTGATAAAAAAGGGGATTTCCTGTGGAAAACAAAAAAAAAAAAAACAGGCTCCATCATGTGAGATCTACTTTCTCTTTGCCGTGGTCTTTTTTCTTCCTGCTGCCTTTCGGGACGGAGCTGAAATGGGTTGGGTCCCCCTAACTGCATGGATAATTGCCACTTCAGGTAAGAAAAATCTCTTAAATTCACAAAAAAAACCAGAGAGGAAGAAAACGGAAGCGTAGCTTGTGGGTAGCTTGTCTTCGGAAGTTGTGGGAGCTTCATCCCTGGAGGCTTTCAAAGAAGAGACTGGACTGCCATCTGTCAGAAATGGTGTAGGGTCTCCCGTTTGGGCAGGGGGTTGGACTAGATGACCTACGAGGTCCCTTCCAACTCTGTTATTCTATATTCAATGGAACAGAAGTTGCCTTCGGAAGTTGTGGGAGCTTCATCCCTGGAGGCTTTCAAGAAGAGACTGGACTCCTATCTGTCAGAAATGGGGTAGGGTCTCCCTCTTGGGCACGGGGTTGGACTAGATGACCTATAAGGTCCCTTCCAACTCTGTTAATTTGTTAAGGATTTAGGAGGACGGGGAGTGACTCCCGTGAACTGCACCTTGGTTGAATATAGAATAAGGAGGCCGCTAGGATGATGACGATCAATGGGAGCTTCTTGAAACGGTCTGTGGTCTTCTTCTCACCTTCTGGAGAACATAGAATAACAGAGTTGGAAGGGACCTTGGAGGTCTTCTAGTCCAGCCCCCTGCTTGAGAAGGAGACCTTATATCATCCCAGTCAAATGGTTGTCCAGCCTCTTCTTTAAAATCTCCAATGATGGAGCACGCAACAACTTCTGGAGGCAAGCAGTTCCACTGGTTAATTGTCTTCAATGTTAGGAAGTTTCTTCTTAGTTCTAAGTTGCTTCTTTCTTTCATGATCTTTCACCTGTTATTTCTTGTCCTGCCCTCAGGTCTTGGTCTAAGACAAGGAGTTAACAGCTTTCCAAAAAATGCTAACAGAGTTGGAAGGAACCTTGGAGGTCATCTAGCCCAACCCCCTGCCCAAGCAGGAGACTGTACACCATTTCTGACAGATGGCAGTCCAGTCTCTTTTTTTGAAAAAAAAATATTAAATTTTTATAACAACAACAAAAACTAACAAATAAAACCTTCTTTCTGTTCATCAGTGTGTTAGTTGGGTACACATTTCTTTTCTGTGCACATAATACCATTATCATACATATTTTACTTTATATATATATATATCTTCTAATCAATATTTTATATCACATATATCACTTATTATATTAGCCTTAACATTATATTTATTAATTTTCAATAATATATTTCACACTCATTTTCTTACTCTGTCTAACTCATTCGTTTATCAGTAATAAATATTCCATTTCTGACAAGTGGCAGCCCAGTCTCTTCTTGAAAGCTTCCAGTGATGAAGCTCCCACAACTTCTGAAGGCAGCTTCTATTCCATGGGTTCTCACTGTCAGAAAATTCCTCCTTATTTCCAAGTTGAATCTCTCCTGGATCAGTTTCCATCCATTATTCCTTCTCTGGCCTTCAGGTGCTTTGGAAAATAGCTTGACCTCCTTCCTCCTCTCTGTGGCAGCCCCTCAAATATTGGAAGACCACTCTCCTGTCTCCCTTGGTCCTTCTCTTCATTAGACCAGCCATGCCCAGTTCCTGCAACCGTTCATCGTATGTTTTGTTTGGGTTGGACTAGAAGACCTCTGAAGTCCCTTCCAGACCTGGATATATTTAAGCTGGAGTTGGAGACTGGACTCAAGATGAGGTCTTCGTAATGTAGAATATACCTCGATGTGTAGATATAAGTATTTTTTTTCTTGTAGGTCTATGCATGTCGAGGGCCTACACACCAACGCAGGTGTTAGGAGTTGCGGGGAGCTCGGCTTTATTCAAAGCAGCCCCCCCTCCCAATTTTCACAGCCGGGAGTTCTTCTGGAGTTCTTTGCAGCCTTCCGAAGAGTTGGTGGCCACTTCGCTCAAGGGAAGCCCAGAGATCCAGTACCGGTCCCGTTTCTATGGAAGGACTCGACTCCACGACAACTTCACCTTAGAGATCGATCCAGTGGATTTAGAAGATGCTGGGAAGTTCTCCGTTCTCCTGGTGGACACCACAGGACATATGCAAAAACAAACTTTTGAGCTGAAGGTTTACGGTACGTGCTATCCAAAAAAAAAAAAAAAAAAGCCATGTCTGTTTATTAATTTGTTTTTATTTGTTTTTATTTTTGGTTGAAATAAGGACCTGTTTTTTATTTCTTCATTCCCTTCCCATCCAGCATCTCCAAACTGGATTGTCCCATCGCAGTGAATATTTTGCAAATGTTTCTATCCCATTCTTAATTCAAATCAGAAGTACAGTACTCCGCCCTGATTAGAACAGTGTTTCTCAACTTTAGCCACCTGAAGACGGGTGGATTTCATCTCCCAGAATTCCCCGTGCTTGGGGAATTCTGGGAGATGAAGTCCACCCGTCTTCAAACAGCCAAAGTTGAGAAGCAATGGGATTAGATGGTCGAAGCTCTTCGAAGATCATAGTTCTGTTAACTAAGGAGAGAACGTAAAAGTTGCATTCGTGTCATATGCAAAAGTGGGTTGATATATCATCTTGGTTAGCTTTTGCAGAGGGCAGGTCTTAATGTGAGATAGCAGCTAGATTAGTTTCTGGATAAGTTTGGTGAGTAAAACCAAGGCCCTTTCAAAAAGCGGTCACAGGCTACCTTGCATCAAACTAGATTTAAACATTTAAATTTTATTGTTTAAAAAATGATTAAAATATCTGGAAGACAGCAGCATTTTTCCCTGGCATCAAGAAGACATTAGCACAGAGTCAATTATGCGTCATTCTTCAAGGGCTGTTTTCTCCATGTTGCAAGAGTCAGGAATTTTTGCCCCTAGCACTTCACTTCATTTGGCTTTTTTACTTTGCTTTTTATTTTACGTTGCTTTACTTTATTCTACATCGCTTTATTTTACTTTTTTACTTGATTTTACATTGCCTTTTTTCATATCACAATGCTTTTTCTTTATTTTCTTTTACATTGTTTTACTTTATTGTACCTATTTTATTTCGCATTACTTCAATTTTAAATTATCATTTTATATTATTTCATATAGCTTTTGCTTTATTTTACCTCTTTTGTTATTTTACTTTACTTTATTTTATTATTGTATTTATACTGTAATTTATTTTATATTTTGATGTGATTTGATTATATTTTATTATTTTAGTGTGTTGTGTTGTGTTCTGTTGTATGCATGAAACCAAAGATGAAAACCTCCTAGAATGCATAGGGGTCAACATAAAAGAAAAAAAGAATGACATGGCCATAGGCCACCCAACCAAACAGAAAAAAATAGATGACCTCTTTGTCAACCAACTAACAAACATATGCAGGAAACACCCTACAATAGTAATGGGAGACTTCAATTATCCTGATATCAATTGGAAAACTAATTCTGCACCAAGTGAGAAATCAAATAGGTTCCTAACCAACCTAGCAGACAACTTTGTTGCCCAAAAAGTAGAGGGACAGCCATACTGGACTTAATTCTTACAAATAGAGAAGAAGTGATAGAGGGAGTTGAAACTGCAGGAACCTTGGGCGAGAGCGACCATGTCATACTAGAATTCAACATAACACAAACACAAGCAACAGAACATAATGACACCAGTCTTAGATTTTAAAAGAGTTGATTTTAATAAATTCAAAGAGAACTTGGGAAAGATTCCAGAAATGGTGTAGGGTCTCCTGCTTGGGCAGGGGGTTGGACT